TGTGAATTCAATTATGATTACATAACTTGTACAAGGTTACTCCTATACTACATTAGCAGATAGCAGCACAAGCTCCTATACACCTAATTAGATGCTATCTAATCTAACCTTGACCTTCTTGTCTATATGTCTGTTAGGCCGTTACATATTTCAGAGTATGTCATCTGACTATAGGGCTTCAGGGGGCCCCCCTGCTAACTAACTACTCACATTTAATCTTTGCTAACAAAGCTCACCCTTGCAAAGTTCACCCAGATTCTAGCACTAACTTCATAACATATCCCTAGTACTTTTAGTATATCCCTGTTTCTGACTTTAGACTCCCAATCCAGATAGCCCGGTAGGACTGTGACCTGTCCCTGGTATCCCAGAGTCTGCCCTCCAAGGTTCTTTTTCTTTGATTCAAGACTTCTGGCAGCCTGGTTAGTAGTACCTTCACCCGAGGTTTTTGCCTGCCCAATTTCTTCCACATTGGTATCTGTTTCCAAGGTCTAGCCTTTACAGTAGTACTGTTAAAGATCTGTGTTACCTCTTTACTCGGGTCTTCCCAAGTGGATTTCAGTTATTCTAGTTCACAGATTTACATGATCACAGATGCTCTATGACCTGCCAGTTATCTGGTGTAACTGTTACAGGTACTGATCCCAACTGATCAATAAATAGCCATTGCTGTATTATCAGTTTTAAGGACTTATTTTGTGTTTGCACCACCCAATGCCAGTTTGCATTTTTCTGTATAACTCTAGCATTGCACAGATGCCTGTATATACTGATGTAACATAGGTGGTTTTCCAAATTTTTGCCATCAATGGGTTTTGAATTTCCAACCTACCACTTGGAGGTTGACAACTTATCCACTTCACTAAATTGCCATACCCTCTCTATAATATCTTCATTATATGTTTCAATTATTAGTTGGTTTATTTTAATTGTTGTTATATCATGTACTTATTCTGGTAAACTACTTTACTATATATGTTTGTTTGTTTACTTTTACTTATTTTTTGTACTTTTTGTATAACCTAAATTGATCTTTACAACAGGATTACAAGAATTTTTCAAAATTTCTACAAAAAAATTTTTGTTTTCATTAATCTTTTCAAGCTGTACTATTTCTAAGCTTTTTTACTTGTATTTTTGTTTTTTAGCTAAATGTAACTTTTGCTACTCTTCTTTTTTTGTTAAGGGTCTAAGTGTTGTTTTCTAGAGGTTTTGTAATTTTTTTGTGTTTTGCTTCTTAATAGTTTTTGATCAAGAGATTTATAAAAGAGAGTTTTTAAAATTTTTTATTTTAAACTGTTTGAATTTAAAAACTTTGTATAATATTGTTAGTACAAGAAAAATTAAACAATTATTAAAAATAAATAAGACACAGTAAAGTTAAAATTATACCAAACTCAATCTGTCTTTAAAATTTTAAGCATATTATATTTTTGAATTTGAAAGAAAAACTTTGAAAATAGAAAATAACATTAAACAAAATTTTAATTTCAAACAACCTTACTAGTTAAAATCAACAAAATTTAATATGCTAAATAGTAAATATGTTACTCAGTATACAAGTTATTCTTGTTATAATGATATTGTCATTAGTAATAGATAGAACAACTTTTACATTCCTTTAAAAACCATAACTGATTATAATTTAGTATAATAAAATTGTTACTGATAATAAACAAAACAACTTTTATATTCTTTTAAAAAACAAAAATATTCCATAACTAATTATAATTTAGTATAACATAATACTATTAAAAAGATTCAAACAAAAGACTTTTTTAAAAAATTACTTATTTCACCTTTTGCATTCTAAAAAAAAATTCTTACACAATTTTACTATATGTTTTATTACTGTCAATTACTGTCTAAACCCTAATACAAACACAAATCTTAATATAAATAAATTTTAGATTTTTTAGTCTTATATTTTTTTTAAGAAATGCTAGGATTGTTCGTAAATAGAATTATCCGATAGCTTACTATAATCGAAAAACTTGATAATAATTACGTTTCGAAGTTATTTGGTGATAACGTAATTACCATCAAAACTTGATAGTCCAGTCGTCGTAAATACCGTTATTGATGCTACGCACCAATAACTTACTTATCTGGCTTTAAATTTAACGCAGCATTTCTGGGGCACCTACGGGGCCAGAAGCTGGCACATTAAATTTAAAACCAGATAATGGAGTATTTTTTACAAATAACTCCAGTTATTGGATGCTACACATTCAATAATTTGATATTGCCATTTCTAGGCTCAGAAGCTGACATATTAAATTTCACAGCCAGATAATTTTACAAATAATATAATATTTATATTTAAATAAAATTATTTATTATAACGAAATTTAAGAATATGTAACAATATGCAAGAATATATAATATTTAAGGATATATAAAAATTTTGCCCATCCCTATTTTAACTTTTTTTAAATCCAGATTAGCGGGATTGAACATTTAGATAAATTAGGCCACTCCAAATTGATTCTTCGTTTAACATAACATTAAATAGTTCAAAAGAGTGAGGGAAGGGCATAAAAAATACATAAATTAAAAAAAATACAACAATCCTATTGGCTGTAAAAATATGGAATATATAAAAAGCTAATACTGAAATTTAATTGGTTAATGTGTGTGTATTTTTTTCATCAAATTTGGAAAAATAGGGAGGGATTATGTTAAACGAAGAATTAAGTTGGTCCGGCCCTCGTAAGAAAAAAAAAAAAAAAGGTGTTATTTTCACAATACAATGTGTTAAACTTGTTTTCTGTGCAATAGTACCAGATTTTTAGAGGTTTCATATTCGACCGTTTTGACACGGATGACCCGGTTTACTATAACCAACCGGTTCTAATCTCTAATTCAAGTCATCACGATTGCTTTCTCCTCCTTGGTCTGCCTGTTTTTGATAAGGATGATTATCTGGTACTTGCACAAACGAATAGTCACCATCACTAGAAATTTCATCACTATTACTATTAGCATAATTATTGGTATAAGGTTGCGACTTTTGTAATTTGACAAGATTTTCGCAACGTTTCATAATGTCTTTTGGTGTTAACCTCTCAGGATTATTGATTAGTTCTTGATCGCGTAAAACTGCGGCCAAATCTTCAGGAACCTGTTGCAATAAAGTTAGGGTTATCAGCGATCAACTCATTTTTCTCTTTCCAGATGAATATACTTAATTACAAAGCTTACCACCCAGAAATCATCTTGATACCTTAATAAGCTATGAACCGCTTCGATTGCTAAAAATGAGTCATCTTTGATAGGATCCTTTGACTTAGAATATAATATGTTAGGAGTAATCACTGTTGCAAGGTTATGTAAATCCATCTTGCTACCCGTTTCTTCATCTACATGTGAAAAGGAAGCCACCCATTTGAAAAATATAAAAAGCACCTCCATTGTGTCACGATTAACCTTAGGTAGAAGACAACACGTTAAGTGAAGAACTTTCTTCCGATCTGACTCATTTGGAAGTCCTGAATTATATGGTATTGAATATTTTTTTACATAGGCATTAAATATTGGCATTTACATAACGCAATTATGAACTACGTAAATAAAATGGTTCAAAACTCAAGTTATACTTTGTGATACTATTAAAAGCTTGTGCAACTTGAAAGTAAGAAGTGGATCAGGCAAGTCACGAAGAAACTTTTTCATTAACGCAGCAACTTGAACAGGATTATCTTCAGAGAGGTTAACTGATGAAGGATTTCTGTCAATGGCCTCGCTGAGGTCCTTTAAACGTCGAATGTTTCCATTTTTACGGAATATGCCTTCAACAGACATGTCTATAAAATGTTCGGCAATGAATTATTGATACAAAATAATAAAACATCCAAATATTAAAAGTGTATTAATTACCCATTGTTTTCATAGCTGATATGCTGTCGTCTATAAAACTAGGGACTCTTATTCGACCAGGCCCTGCTCCAAGTACTGAGTCCACACCATATCTCTCAACTAGAACTTCTAGAGGCACACCAAACGTGCCTAATATCGATTATGTGCAATAATAGCATGGAAACGATGAGATAAAAATATTGATAAGTACAGAATTTTTAATTTCAATTAATGGATAAACATATGCCGTATCTATTATACTGGGAAAACAGGCAAATTTCGGTTTGTCGGGCTGATCCGTGTCGATTTATATAGTTTGATTGGCAATTATTTGATCACATGACTGGAATCCAACACAAACTCATGTCAATTGCTCTACCATAGAGTCCTCGGACAATAATAACAGATGAATTGGGCCACAACACAATTCCTACCTTTCTTCTTTACAGGCACCTCTTTAGGTCTAATCTGTTGTACAAATTTCGTCCATAAAGTTGCTTTCTTAGATCCAATCAAGTCTAACAATTCTTCCAGGGTGAAATAGTCCTTAACGTATGGTTCCATAATGAGGACAGCTACATGCCTTACAATAAAATATTCCAGGCCCGACAATTCAGACAAATAAAGTTTAGTACGTGATACTCGTTTGAATTTTTTCTTGGTTTTCTCTTCTGTTGACATTTCTGCAGCTGCAATCGCTGAAATATCAGCCAATGTAATCGCTTCATTTTCTAGATCAAATTTCAAACGAGCGTCACTATTTTGTGAATCTGGCATTTTATCGTCAATAATTCTGACATGGTGTTGTGAAGGTGCTCTAGCCAATTTATCCTTAGAGGTTTCTTCCTGAGTCTGTGAAGTATTAGGCTGTTCATGTTCTACTACTCTGGATGTCTTAGCAATCCTCTCAGAAGTCGATACTTTGCGATCCAAAACAGACTTCATACGCTTAATGTCTGTATTAAGAGATACATATGATTTGTCACCGCTAGAATAGGACTTTGAACGTGAATCTTTACGAATAAGGCCGGCTTCTTCTTTGTTAGTCTTTCGACCACTACGAATGTCTTCGTAATCCGACAGACTGTGTTCATCTTTACGTAAAAATATATGTACATTATTATTATGTATCAAATAGTAAAGTAAAGAAAGATGCCACTACCAATAAAAAACCTAATATAATCAAAAGTGTTTTAAACTTTTACCTTTATGTTTCAATAAATTATACATGCGAGATAATTCAACACGTAACAAATACGTGTACTGTTCTAACTGCGTAACATATTGAAATCCAGGTGTGGCTTGTTCATTTGTATGTGCAGGACAGAACGTCATTTCAGTAATTTGATTAAATGTAGCGTCCCGATATATGGTACGTAATTCTCGAGAACAACCAGAACACCTTAAGCAACCAATATGCCAACGATAATGTCCATATTTGTAACATTCTTCTTCAACAGTGATCCGACATACATGACACAGATCGGACGTGATTTCATTGTCTACATTTGGCTCTAGAACTTGTTTTCCTTCCCTTTTCGTGAGCTCGACAAGTTTATTTAGAAATTGACCAATTGCTAAAGGATTATTAAAATCTCGCTCCTTTTGTGGATTTTTTGAAGTGATTAAATTGGTTATTATTGGATTCAATCAAATTAGAACCAATAACATAGTAATATATAATGATAATTTACCAATTTTAAGGCACCAGTGAGTGCGATCCTAATCAAAATTTTCAAATAATGCGCCAAGCCTGTTACTAATGCTAGAAGTTCCTGCGTGATACCTAATTTTCTAACACCTGCCTCCTGAGTATGCGACAATAGTGAAAAAAAGTTGACTATTTTCCTGCAAAGCATTTTGGCTTCCCTGTTATGTTGTAAGCCTAGATTAGTTGATACCATTAAGTTATTAATACAATTAGGGAGACAAGTAAAACCACATGACCATAACAGGGTAACATATGCATACCCTGACCACTTGCTTGCACTAATTGAACTTCTAAATCATCTATTGCAGAAAATAAGATATCAACATGATTGATAAATCTCTCTATCATTTTTACGCCTTCAAGATAAGCTCCATTTGACACATGAAGAAGCATATCAGAGATACATGCAGCAGACATTTCTTCGAATGCAGAAAGTACTGTCCATATATTGTAAACTTTTTCTTCAATAGTTTTTTGTTGCTGTTTTAGCTTTTCAGGTGTTATATCTTCAGCCGGTAAAGGCTCGTCTAATTTTAAAAATACAAATCTTATTAAATAATTAGCATTTGATTGCGACAAACTAAAGAAAAAATATTACCATCAGAGCCAGGTCCCTCATCTATTTGTGCTGCCAGCTTAACGTTCCAGAACTAAATCACAAATTCATAAAGTATAATTATAGCATAATTAATGTTAGACCAATTAGCAAAGAAAAAAAAAGTTTGTATAATTCTATCACCTGAAACTCATGAAATGGTAATAGTAACAATACAATAATAAAGAAACCAATGCAGTTTCATAAAATAGAATATAAGAATATATATACCTTGTGGATCATATAACATTCTGGATGCCAATGCTCATCAATATTGTTTCTATTAATCTCCACAAATTGTTTCAAAATGGCCGTTTTACAGCCTGTACATTTTACCGCGAACCGTGTAGAATAATGATAATGGCAATAAACTTGCCCATCGTGTTCATAATACGAGTCCTGAGGACCAAATACCGTTGGACATGCAGAGCATGTAAAATGTTCAATGTGATATTTTTTTTCAAGTGCAGTAATATAAGATCCTCTAAGAGCGCCTCCACATTTTTCACAGATAAGATTAAGACGCCGAAAATAATCACGTTCACATAGAGGGTGTTGCTTTCCATCCGCTCCATCTATTGGGAAAAACTTAGAAGCCACAACAGTCCCGCAATCCTGAGTTATGTATATAGAATAGAAACAACATTAATACGAAATACACCAGCATATTATGTGCGGGTTAGTGATGAATTATTTAATACCTGACATTTAAAGCACTCTAAATGGTATGTTCCGCACAATGCACGCACAAACTGCCCTACAATCATAAGTCCACATTTTGCGCAAGTAGTAAAAGCTTGTTTATTTACACCAGTTTCTTCGGGTGTTATTTCGATTTGATCGCTCATTTTTTCAAATCAGGAGTTTTGTCAAAGGCGTGGTCGCAAGTGGACACCTTGTATAGTTTATTTAGTATAAAAGTTAAATTCAAGCGTGATGAAAAAAACGTAACACCATTAACGCAAGAAAAGCGAAACGATCGCAAGAATTCAACGTTGTACAATGTTTGAGTAGAGAAATTAGTAGAAAAAGTAATAGATAAAGGTATTTTAGTGGTTCAACTTGCTAGGGATTTGTCCTACAGCTCGAGTGGGAAACAAGGCTAACCAAAAGCAGATGACGTTAATCAGATTTATTTTTAGTTACAAATTCCTTATTGAGCTTATTGGATAGTAACAGGGAGGTTAAAAATAGTTTGTAGTCTTGTTGTCATTTATACCAGAATCAATTGTCCTGATTGGCTAATTAAAAACCACAAAGCGAAATATGGATATCTTCCCTGTCATGTGATAATCGTGATAATCAAAAATTCTTTAGAGTTCTTTTGCATACTAAATAAATTTTTTTTTTTTTGCAAAATTTGAATATTAGTATAATTTGTCCGGAGGACATTATATGTGAAAAAATGTCGGTCTGTTTGGCCACATTATGTGATATTCGACAATCAATTAAATCTGGTATATATAACTTAATACTTACTTTGAACATACAATGCTATGCATATCTAGTTATAAAAAAAATTTCTAATTGTATATGAGGTGTTATATACATGAGTATAAATTAATTTATTTAGCAAATCTATAGAAGATAAAATTATAAATTAAAAAAAATTAAAATTAATTTAAAGTTAATAAAGTATAATAACTTAGTAAAGTAGATAAGTTATTAACTTTTCAAGTAGCAAGTTGTGAGTTCAAAACCTACTAACAGCAAAAATTTGAATAATCATTTATGCAATATTTGTATTATAGCAACTGTTCTTAATGATTAGGTTAAAATAATTATAATTATAATCATATTAGCATAATTAACAGATTAAAAAATATTTGTATAATTAATTATACAAAAAAATGCAAATTGATATTGGGTAATATCTCACAATATTCAATACACTCTTTCTGCCAATCACCAAAACACAAAACCTGCAGAAACAAAAATTAAGGTTAACAGGAAAACCACTGCCAAAACTGTACTTGAAGACTTAACAAAAAAGAAAAAGCTGCAAAAATAGAACTAGCAAGCAAAATAGCAGAAGAAAACAAATCAAGAAGCAAGTAAAGAAAAGACAAACTTTCCAAATGAACTTCAAAAAAGAAAATTTTGGGGAAATAGCTTAAACCTGGAATCACAGATCTGTTTGAAACACGTGAGCACGTGAAAAGACAAACAAACAGGCATGTACAAATATAGACAAAGTAAACATGTAAGTATCATAGAGGGCACATGATTATAAACAAAGCAGCACAGAACATAGTCACAGATGACACAGGCAAAAACAGAAGAGTCAATGATGCTAAAATTGGTAAGTGAAAGAGCAGAGGCAATACTAAAGCTTATAGGCAGCAAAGAATTAGAACAAGAACTAGCAAATAGTGATAGCCATTTTAATATAAGAGATATAGTAGCAGCAGCACTATGAAAAACAGACTTAATAGAAACAGTAATGATAAGAAAAATATATGAAGCAATAATTAAAGTAGACATGAGAGATCCAACAAGCGTAGAAAAATGAGCAGAAGAGATAAACCGTACAAGCCAACACTCATTAGCAGTGCAAAGTATGAGTAGCAAAAAACCTTAACAGTATCGAAAGAAGAAAACAACACACCAGAATTGTATATAGAGAAAATGAGACAAAAAACAGAAGTAGTAGATATAATAATAGATAAAAAAGAGACATGACAAAATACAAGTTTAGAAGAGAAAGAAAGACAAAAAAGAAAAAAAAACAAAGAAGTTACAAATACAGAAAAACAAATATGATGATCGAAGAAACAAAAATAGACAACTATATAGAAGAAGGAATAAAGACACTAAAGACAAATATAATGCAAAAAGATTATAAGGACATCATCATGGCAATTAAAAACCAAGAAGAAATTGAGATAGATGAAAGAAATGGAATCCATGACACAGAACAACTATAAGACTATAGAAGAACCACTAGAATGAAGCATATAGTCACCTTTGAACAGAGAATACAATAATGAAAGAATATATGCAGCAAAAATACCAGCATACAATGTACCAGGTAGTTCACTAGATAAAAGAACAAAATTCATTAATAGATTGCTAGTATCCAACAAACATGTTAAAGAGGTCAAAGAAATGTTTAAGAGGGATAATGCTTGGATTACTGTCACATTCAACTATAAATATAGCAGAGAAGAAGCAATCAACAAAATCTAAAGAAAATACAACGATTGGTTTAGAATGATTCCAGATATAGACAAGTCAGAAGAGGAGAAGACCGAAAAAGATAAGAAGTTAGAACATAAAAAGGAGCCGATAGAAGAGAAGAAGAACAAAGAAAAAATCAAAAAAACAAAAGACAACTCACACAACCAAGAAAAAGGAAGCATAGACAAAGAAAACAAAGAAAACACATTAACAGTAACAGTATAGGACCTACCAAAGGAGATGACAGAGTATGAAATCAAGTATTTAGTAAGAAGAATAGGTAAAGTAACAGAATGCAGAATCTGAAGAAGTGCATACAGAACAACAGCAGTATTAAAAATAAAGAGAGAAGAAGAACAAGCACTTCCATGGTTAGTTCCATTAAGAAATGGAAAGCTAGCAAGAATGACAATAGGTGAAGAAGAAGAGGAAAAGAAAGAAGAAAGAAATTAATTCACAGTAAGACTAATAGGAATACTCAAGAGAATCTCTGAACTAATTCTACTACGAGAGCTTAAAACCAGAAAGGCAATAGCAGTATACATCCCACCAAACAGATGGGGAAGACCAAGAAACTATGCAGTAGTATCATTTAAAAGTTAGGAAGATATAAATAAGACTACTAGGAAAAAGGTCTGGTACAATGGAGTCTCGATGTTCTGAGAAGTCAAACCAAAAAGATTAGATGTCCAACCCTATAAAGGCAGCAACAAGATACAAAGGATACAAAAAGAAAAAAAAATAGAAGACCTCGACTCAGAAGAAGAGTATACAAACCCAGAAGAATATATAAAGAGAAATAAATACAGCACAAGACCGAATAATAGAAGAAATAAACAAAGAAATGGAAGTTATCAAAACAAAAGAAATGAAAAAAAAAACTTAGCAAGTACAAACCAGGAAGGAAATAGACCAAAAAAAGAAGCTAGGAGTATGAGAAAAACACAAGAGCAGGCATCAGACATGGAAAATATATTAGGTCAAATACTGAAAAGACTAGAAAAATTAGAGATAGCTGAAGAAAGGGTATGGAAAGCCCAACCAGATCGCTCCTGAAGGCGCTACAGTTGAATTAACAAGAACAGATGAGGAAGTCGAGAATTTTCTGCGAAGAGAAAGAGAAGTTTTTGAAGAAAGAAGAGTATCTCCTTATTTAAAAGAAAAGAAATGCAAAAAAGGAAAAGAAAAAGCAGTTGATACAGAACTATCACAAAACCAGTTAAAAGTGAAGTGGAAAGAAGGAAAAAAAGAGATAAAAGTAGCATGTCACAACATCAACAGGCTAAAAACCAAAGATTAGAAACTGGAAAACCTGCTCGGCTAGGCAGAAGAAGAAGAAATTGCAATACTGGGAATCACCAAAACAAATCTTGCAGAGAGAGAGAGAAAATTTTTACTTTACAAAACAACAGGAAAATATGTTAGATTTTGGAGTAGCATAGCGGTAAACAAGAAAAAGGGATCAGGTGTAGGATTGCTAATAGAAGAACAATGGGCAAAACATGTAGACACAGTTAGGAAGATAAATGAATACATAATAGAAATTACACTATACTTCAAGCAAAAGGAATTGATAGTAATAGGGGTCTATATACTACCGAGTAACAAAGAAGTAGGAAGAAGTATCCAACAAAAGATAGTTGAAATTATTACAAAGAAGAATAGACGAACACAATTAATGATTATAGAAGACTTTAATCACATAGTGAACAATGTTCTAGATAGGCAAAACCCACAAGCTGCAAACTATAAAAGATTATCATTATTTAGTTAGATAAAAAGACAAGACCTATATGATACATATAGAGAAATGCATCCAACAGAACAAAGATACACATGGTCAAACTCAGAAACAGCAACAAGAATTGACTATATATGGGTATCAGAAGGACTGGCGTC